AGGAAGTTCACAGGATATACGTAAAGTATTAATATCGCCAAGGACTCCGACCGCGCTAAATTAAAAAATAAAAACTTAATACGTAGTTTAAGTGTTCTTCCAGACTATGTTCTACAACTATGGCAAATTACAGCGAGATCACTTCAGCCGTTCCGGAGATACATTCAAACAATAATCCATCCATCCATTTAAACATTCGCATTATATGTATATATTAGTAAGATAAATTAAAATATCACTTAACAGATTAATAACTGCTGTTATAAAAAAACATCAGCTCTACATAAGTTCGACTCCCAAGCTTATATTGATTGACCCGGTTACCCACAGAGAATACAGCATATTTCCTTGCTACGGCAATCCATTAAATATTAACACATTAAATAATTTCCCCAGACACTCAAGTCCATTGTTTTCGTATACGAACCAATTACTATTTAATTGTAGTAAGTATATTAAGGAAATAGAATTCGGATATGTTTAGTTGACCCCGATTGAATGTACTTTCTATGTTTACATAACCAGGGGCACATAACTGTTGTGTGATGTAAAATGTACTTAATTAAAAATATATAACATTACTATATACTAGACGGCCTACAAAGTAGAGCGTTAATCAATCTTCAAATCAAATTAAACAATTATATTAAAAGGAATTAAATTCGTCATATTTCAACCCGTTCGACGAATAAAGTTACATCTCCTATGAAATGTAACTCTTATCATTGGACTTTAATAATAATAAAAAAACAAAAGTGGATCACCCTCTAAATAATCGATTGGGTGTACCGATTAATATTACAATCCTTAGATTAAATTTGAAAGAAAATGGATTAAAAATGTTAATTAAAGACACATTAGATAAGCAGAAATGGATAATGAATGATTATTGGGTAGCCCATAAACGTTTAGCAAACATAGTCGTGGAAGGGTTCTATTAATAGGGTTGGCAAAAATAAGTTTGTACTATTTTTTTATAACAGAAGGAGACAAACGAGCAGCGGGAACACCGAGGTGTTCAACGACGCCCATGGACATCAGCAATACCAGAGGAACCGCAGATGCGTTGCCGGCCTTTATACACTAATACAATCCAACATATAACTGGTTCGAAACAAAATCCAATTAAATTGCAACAAAGTGTATTCATTACGCGACAGGTTCAATTACAAATTCCATTAAAAAAAAAAACCTTGAAATACAAGGCAATTTTTTTCAGTTTATAGAAATGCCGGATGAAATTGCAAAAATTACTCAGACAAAAGTCATTTTTTTTTTTACAATTTCTAAACATCACAACATACGGACAAAGCGAGAACAAATATATTTTTAAATCGATTAAAAATAATACCAAATTAATTTGAAAAATTAATAAAACAAAACATACTGTTATCTCTCCATTCAAAGGGATAACAACATATTTCTATAGAAGTCGTTCAACAATGGAAACGCAAACAGGTTTCAAATATTACTAGTAGGTATATAAATATTAGAGGTATAACAAAGTACACGCAAATCCCCAGTATGCCACTAGTTTCATAAGCTACAGTACAAAGAGCGACATCGTGATCGGCCCAGTTGCCGCACCTTTCACTCAAACGATGCCAACAAAGTTGTATAAGGTGAATTGTATTACCACAAAAAGATATCACATAAATACAGTAACATGCAAACTTAAACGAATGCAACGTACAGAAGTACATTATCTTAACACGTTCGCTGCCAGAATGATTTTTCGAATAACGAAAAAAATTGACCCGCTGTTTATAAGCTTTATAAGGCCTTGCGGGTCACGCTGTATACAACAATTCGATTAAAAAGCGGCTTGTCGGACACTTAGTCCAACACGGCCTGATTGAAACATTAGCTTGTCGGTCATATAGTCCGACATGGCAGCTAACGTGTTAATAAAAGATGCAACTCTTCGTTGTATGGGTAGACATTAAGATCGCTGTCTTCATACATACGTTGCTTACGATTTTAGTGACGGATGCGATTTGTGTCGCAAGTACTAATGCACTATTTTGTCTACCCGCAGTGTGTATTCCCGAGCAGCCGTAAAGATTGAATCGTGTAATACTATAAACTACGAAATTATATACAAATTCGTACACGATGTAAGCTTGATATTACAAGCTGTAGCTTATCAAAGTTACAATAAATAATGGCTTGAATTTCTAAGTTATAGGTTACATATAAGGTCATAAGTTCGAAAACAAATTATCAAGGCCCAATAGCTTAAGATGTCTAGCAAGTGGTAAATGAACACCCCTAACTTAGGGTAGGCTCCGAGCCCCTAATTGGGGACATATAGTGAGTTGATGATGAAACCATCAACACTCTATGGAAATGATTTGACAAACACATGAAATATCAAAATTTATGGGCAAATGACTCAAATGACAAATGTTTTTGTATATATCTTTATACTGTGGAAACTCAAATTAACGCTCAATGAACACTATCGCACTAACGGACGCCAATAACGACCTATTAAATTAATCTCGTAATCTGAATGTTGTTAAATAAATTGTAAACATTAAATAAGTGAACAAATCTCTAACAAAACTTTTTATAACCATGACTTAATGGACCAAAGATATATTGTTTTTTTTTATTTTTTTATAGCATAAGGTGGCAAACGAGCGAGCGGCCAACTGAAATCGCTGAAATAGCGAAGTTACCGTTGCCTTTAATCGACGGACAGGGTGCACACAAAGAAAATATTTCCCCTATCCATGCATTCTCTCATCCGGAAAGTCCACTTCCACTTCCCATCCTTTCTTTATAAGAAAAAGGGTGGGAAGGGAAAGAGGACTAAATTAGGCCTCCGACGCACACTCATCAGACAAAACGCGGAATTACTTCCACTTGACGCCAGTCTTCTGTGTGGTCGCGGTATTTCACCGGGCGAGGTTGACAAATCGTGCGAAGATATTCAAGCGGGCTCTACCACTGTTAATTTGTTCAAGAAGGATGACAATATTTTTAAAAGTCTCTGCTGCATACCAGAGGTTAAGTCCATGTTCCCTAAAGGTTATGGTCCATGTCACCTATCTGCGTTTTTCTTATATGAAAACAATGAGAAGGGGAAGATGGTTTTTGCTGAGGAGACTCATAGGAAAGAGAAATATCGAATTTCTATGCGGCCCCCTCCTCTGCCAATTAAAAGCAATGGAATGCAGATTTAATATTGCAAAAGATTAAAAAAACAAGTTATCTTGTATATGAAATGCCAACTTTACTATAAAAAAAATTTGCATCACAAAGCAACAATTTGGTTCTATAAAGCAGAGAATGATTGCTGCCTTGCATAAAGAGCAATGCAAATAGGATGACCTACATACTCGGACATTAGTTCTGCTTTTTCTATACATAAACTGAAAGTACACAACTTCAATGTAAAATTATACTGAGGTTTTTAAAAATATACAGTTATATCGGCATTTTTTAATTTTACTAATATAATAAATGTGAATGTTTGGATAGATGGATGTTTGTTAGAAGGAATCGGAACGGCTGCATAGATCTTGCTGAAATTTGGCATACAAATAGTACAAAGTCTGGAAAAACACATAGGCTACTAATTATGTTTTTGGTTATCTGCACAGACGGAGTTGCAGGCAACAGCTAGTCTTTTATATGTCGTAAAAATAAATTATACATTAAATAAAGGCAATTATTTTAATATATACTACAAGTTAAAAATTAACTGTTATAGTGTTAGATTTACGGCAAATTTGAATATTTTTTTGTTCTTTAAGAAATTATCATCTGAATTTTTAACAACATTTGGAAGGTTGACTAAAACACAGGTTGACCTAGTTTAGGAGTAAATTTTTTTTTTGGTGACATTTTAAAAGAATGTTTCTATAACCAGACAAAAGTAAATAAAATCAATATTCATTACCAACACTAATAAAAACTAAGGAACAAACAATGAATACTGTCTTAAAAATGTCTTAAATATACATATAAAATCTAAATCATATACAAAATGTCTGTTATATCTTTATATACATAATTCTTCTGTGAGTGTGTATGTCACTGAACTGCTCTCAAACGACTGGACCGATTTTGATGAAATTTTTTGTGTGTGTTCAAGGGGATCTGGGAATGGTTTAGATTCACAATTTTCATCAAATATTAACTTCATATTAATTTATTCAAATTAAAGACGTGTAGACAAGACAACGTCTGTCGGGTCCACTATATAAATATAAAAAATATGTTACTGTTCTTCAAACATGTGGAACAATTATTTTAATAAAGCAAACTAAAAACTTGATATAACTGAGAAGAGATAAAAATAACTGAATAGATATACAGTTATAATAATGAATAAGAATTTCCCACAATCTACTTATTACAAAGGCAACATACTTTTGTTTATAAAAACAGATAGCAACATACTATCTGTTCCACTTTATAACTCTCAATACTAATATTAGAGAATGCAAAGAGAATGAATTCAAATTATGAATGTGAATGAAATAAGTAAATATTTCTTTATATCTTTAAATCCTGTTTATATTAAAACAAAGCCATATGCGAAATATATGGTAAACCTTGTTTAGAATAAAGTCACTTTGAATTTTAAAATGTTTTATGACATAGATTGAGATTTTTTTTTTTGCACTTTCACATCATCAGTCAGTGTGTCCTTGACTCCTTAACCATATTTAAGTAGGATCAAACAGTAAAAAATATAATACACATTTTACAGTATGAAAAGCATAATATAGTATGAGTGGTACATAAAACAAATACGCTCTTTAACGTATAAATAAATATTTTATATTTCAATATGTTTAATTACTTTAGATAAGTGTGATATTAATATATTGTTCATAATTACTTGCATATCACTACATTTCAATAGGCCGCGAACATTCATTGAATCAATTTAATTCGCATTGACAGCCGAACAAACCTTGAATACATATAGTAGCGAACTCTAATCAAGCTATCCAGAAACAATACAGGTTTTGTTATCATACCTTCAGCACTTTGATTTAAAGATGAAGGAGCCCCCGTCGACGATAGATCCTTTTTCTTACCGATGTTCGGTAAATCAGAGTCCGAATCGTCGAAAATTAGCGTCCGGACCGATTGTGAACACCGACGATCCATCGCTCGCTCACAACATAACACACAAATAAACCGATATTATCGCCATTTATGACCACATATCAATTATATTTCTTTACTTCACGATATTAACACCACACCGATTAATTTGCACAAGTATATTAAGCGATTTCACTCGCATAATATTAGGATAGAACATAAGATTTTTATTTTTTTTATTTTAAGCCATAATTTTCAAACACGACACACGACTGTACGATCGAAAAGTGACACTTTTACATTTTGAAAGATGGCCTAACCTCGGTGTTGCTGTTATAAAGGCAGTAATCTCTAAATGGATAGGTGATAGCTTGGAAGTGACAATTATTGCTTAATTCCGACTTCATTGCGCAGTTTCATAAGTCTTTAGTTGACTTTTAGAGCCTGTATGGGTGGTGCGAGAGATTTCCTGATTATGCATGCCAAAGTTCTCGCACGTATTAGTTAACCGTTTTCATAAGTCGTTAGGGTCTAGGTGCGTTGGACAATAGTTACTACTTTTCCTTACCGCGCATTATACACGTTAACGAAACATCCACACGAAACTTGCTTTACATCGACACATCAGTTATTAGCCCACATGCGGGGTCTTCCTGCATGCTATATTATGAGAAAGTTATCAATGAATGAAATCGCGACTTAGCTTCTATTTAATTATATATTTTTAATTAATTTGAATCCTTAGCATCGTTACCAACTGCGACCGATAATGTCAAGATTATGAAAATCAAAGAGGCACAAATAGTCACCATTTATAGCCTGTCCATATGTAGAGGTCAGTGCACAATATCAAATCTTTCGCTGCGATCGGAAAGACACACACGACTTACAATTGTAAGTTATTGTCGACTTGTAATTTATTTATTGTGTATTGTATATTTTATGAAATATACTGAAAAATAATTTTAAAACAAGATACTTGCTCCATTAGCAATGTTTACAATTAACAATTAATTAACAACAATATAATGCTGTAGAAGGTTGTAGACTTTGTTTTTGTGGACAAAACTGTTTTATAGAATCTTCAAATTTCTGTCCACTTTTTTTATTATTCATATCATAATAACAGATATACAACGTGACAACAATATTTTACAGTCTGGATTGAAATTTTATTACCTTTATAATCTGTTTCGTCTTTAAATTAGTGACGCCATCTGTCGAATAGAATTTAATTCAAATATTTTTTTTTTTATTTTAAATGGCAGGACTTCAAAATGTTGCAATGTTTTAATTTTAAACTACTTAATTTTAGTCATTAAATTAGTTATTTTTTGAGTATCAACTGAATATTCTTGCTCGATTTTATTTTATTCTTAATGTGAATCAGAAAGAAATGTTTAAAATAAATTCTACAGTGAGTGAAATAATCCAATCAACGCCATCTATTGGCAAAAGTGCGTTGATTCGAATTTTCACCGTCAAAAGAAACGGAAAAACACGAGTGTGCGTCGCCTTAGTAGATATCAGCTGAATTATTCGGCTAAAATGCCCTGGCACGGGCATACGTAGTCGTCGGTCCGCCATTACGACGCAGCCGAGACACGTTCGTCGTATTTAGTTAAATATTTTCGTTTATAAATGAGTAATAACGCTCATGATCTAAGTAATCGACTTCTGAATGCGTTGGATAACAATTACAATGTAAGTTTCCTGGTTTTGAAGATGATAAGTCCGATAAGCAATTCAAAGATACGGAAACGTCCTGCACAGGCCTGTGTCACCCGATTCGAGTTACAATTTTGCCTCTTAAGAGGTTGTCTCGGGGCAAACTAAGATTCTGTGATGATAATAAGAAGTATAGAAGCCTTAAGTGAACTAAGCTGAGCATGAATATCACGTTATTGAAAGGAAAAGTGTCTGTATGGATACGTGAGCGATTCGAGTGCGGTGTACGGGGCCACTGACGTCGCCAGCGCTCGTCCCTCCGTCCCTAGTGCCAAATGTTTTGCAATGTGAAAGTATGGAATTGTGCCACGCGTGACCTTTTCCGTAGATTTTCGTTAGGTCAGTCCGATGAGCAGAAATTTGGGCTGATGACAGTGAAAATGTGTTTTGTCTCGCGGCTTGACCTTAGTGCGCCGAGGTTCGAACGCTGGCGGTGTGGCGGTCACCCTGACCGAGGCGTATGCCTTCGGCACTCCCAACGAGATTGTAACTATTTCTATCTATATCAATTTGTTCAATTGTTGGTGCAATTGCAGGTCAGTTCAGCTTTCGCAACAATTTAGCATAAGGATGTAATTTATAAACTCTTCGATTATTGCTACACAGATTAACTTAGCATGTGGTAATTGGCATATATTCAAGATCCCGATTTTAATTCAATCTGGTGTAATTTAGGCCTACAAATGTGGAAATTTTAGAAATTTTACAGGTGTGTTAAAACTTAGAGGTTACCTCATGATCTACAGCAGTGGCTATACCAATATACCACATTTGAATTTTTGTCAGTGTAACAGATTAATATCCTATAAAACAGCAGCATGAGGCTTGGCATTACAGATTATAGAAAGCCTGTAAAACCTCCATAGCAACAACGCAATTCCTAATAAGTGCTAATTTAAAAATAAAATACTTTAGCATTCAGCCATGAGGTTAGGGCTTGGTTGAAATAAAAGGGACAGTTTCACCACATGTTTTGTTAACATGTGTTCAGCATGGATGAATAACTTCTAGGAATTAAACACTTTTTTATTCATATCTAGATTATGTGAATTCTATTGTAGCTCCAAATTGATTGAATCAAATCAAATATATATTAAATCTTATTATTTGAGAACAATATGAAAACTTAATATAAATAAACAATTAAAAACTTGCAATGTTAGCATTTGATATATACATTTTATAGGTTATTCTCAGGATGTTAGGTGGTTTGTGCACCAATACTCCGAAAAAACTTACACATTTGTAATGAAAGTTTTCCTTGTGCTATACATTACTTGATATTTTAATTAATGAGTTTTGACTCTATCTTTGCAATAGTACTATATTCCACTAGTACTGTTCTTCCGTCATCTCTATTGTCTCTGTTTAGTGAGGATATAGAAAAATTTATTATTTATTCCTCGGAAATGTATTACCTGAATAACAACATTCACTGTAAGAAACATTGTTGTGCTATCACTTATCAAACAAGATTAATTGGTGACGTCATATTTATTTTATGTTAATAATTTGTTAACAACTTATTATTAAATTGTATAGTGCAATTGGATAGGGGAAGAGATGTATAGAAAAGAGGAAATATCAGCTTTATATTCTCCTTCTACTATATATAAGTTCCAATTTAAAGTAGGTAAAGCATCTTGTCTATGGTTGACGTTGAAGATTTTCTATGGTTACAAAATGTCTATGCTTAGTTCACTATATGGTAATTTTGATATTTAACCCAAATCATGTGTTCGCTTCTTGGTTTGCTATCTATAAATTATGAGTGTATTTAGAAAATGGAATATGACATATATACATATATACATTTGACAGGGAAATGTTAATCTTCCTGTTTCATTAAACTGTGGGTTTCCGATCTCTACAAAAATATATTGGCTTTGTTTTTCTTTCTAATGTTATAAGGATGTTTAGAAAACTACTTGGGACATAGTTGTAAAGATAAAATACTTCCTTGTTCCATGATAATATTTTTAAAATTGATTTGATAAGCAATAAATATAATTTAAATTTTCCATAACTATTAATGTAATTTCTGCAAATATTTCTATATTAGTTAGATTTTTGTTTGATTGATTTTGATCTCCTATTTTCTATAGAATGGTACTTTATTTCAACCATTTTAATGACTTCTTTATAATAAACATCCCAATAAGATATTGAAAATTGTATTCGAAAATTTGTTAGTAACTAGCTGTAGCCCGTGACTCTACCCGCATTCCAGACTATGCTCTACAGCTATGCCAAATTTAATTGAGATCACTGTAGCCATTTTGGCCTTCTAACAAACATCCATCTAAACATTGGCATTTATATTATTAGTAAGATCTGTCTTTAACAATCAATTGTTCACTAAGGGAGACACTTAAAGAACCATTAAACATCTCTTAATGCGGCAATAAATTTTTCATTCATTCCAAATACAAGAAACATGAATTAGATTCCTATGTTCACTATGGAAAAATAAAGAAAAAAACAGTTACAATAGTGGGAAATGCTTTTTTCTGTGCACACATAAATCGATTGATTGCATTCGACGATCGTAAAATCGTTTGATAAACTTGGAAAAAAAATTGAAATTGCATTTCGAATTTGTATGTACATAACAAGTTTTTTTTTTAAATATTTCTTGTATTAATTGTGACTACTAAATATTGATTATTTAGTCTGGAGTCTTATATTTGTAGGAGGTTGACACTTTGTGTTTGGTTCTGTTGTGGCGAAAGGTTTGAAGAGAATGTTGTTTTAAAATTAATCATGGGTGATGTATGTCTATGTAGAGTATAAAAAACGAGGGAAATGATTCAGGTCTGTGCTAACCAGAAATTTATATTTATTACTCTCAAACGAGAGATCCTAACTTAGCGATGCCTAGGCTTTAGTCACTGGCCCAGTGCAGTTTGCTTGACTTTACATCTTTAATTTTCTCTTCATATATTTTATATTTGCCTATAGTTTTTTAATTTTTTTTTAATTCCAGGTGGTCGACATGCACGCTGTCAACGAAATTATATCCATTTTGGAGAAAATCAATATTACAAAAGAGCTGTTGGAGGTAAGCAAGTGTCAAGTGTCAAACTAAGTGCGGAGAGGCAACTAAATGCTAAGGGGCAAACTTGTAGCCAACTTACAGTTCACTAATTGTCCGATTCTTGTTAATTTGTGTTACCTCTGCCCATTTGTGACGTCGTTGCCAAGTTTAATGAAGATCGCTGTTAAAATAGTTTTTATTTTATTTTAAAACTAATTACATTGTAAACTCGAATCCCCGACCTCAAGATTGGAAATCCGTACCCTTAACCATTAGGCTATTGGCGCTTTTTTTTGCTGGATAGTCCATTTATGGAGGCAGGCTTAGGCTATATAATATTACGCTGCGACCAATAGTTTTTTTAATTCCGCGCGCACGGAGTCGCGGGCGACAGCTAGTATTGTATAAAGTTTGTGTGATAAATGTATGTAATAATTTGTGTTTGCATCCAGACCACCCGACTGGGCAAGCATGTGAACGAGCTGCGACGGAAGACGACTGACCAGACGTTGGCGCGACGTGCCAAGGTGCTGGTGAAGAGATGGCGCGACCTCGTCATACCAGCTGTCGCCTCGCCCGCACACACCGGTACACCATTCAACATATTCAGTACTTGATATTGCTGGGGGTTTGATTTTAGCCTTATAAGGAAAGGATGGGAAGATGAAGTGGATTTAACGGAAGAGGGGATGCATGCGAAGGGGAAATATTCTCTTTCTGTTTGTCCCTTGCTTGTTTAAAAGTAGGCAACACATATGCAATTGCTATTGTCTACGGGCAGCAGTTGTTAGCTATTTCAGAGTATTCAGGTGACTGCTTGCTTGTTTGCCCTCTGATGATATAAAAAAAATTAAACATATTTTATTAATTATGAGGAGTAAATTCTATTACAATTTTGTAATAGTATTATCAGATTTGATGACATATATATTTTAGAGGTGATATATTCATGCAGGTTCAAACCGGTCGTCAGCGGAGCGTCAGATGCGTCGCCTGGGCGGCACCCCCCTCACCTCGCCCGCTCTCTCACGGGTAATTACATAATCTTTGTTATTAGTTCAAGAATTCACACGCATAAACAGTTATGTACAACCCAATATATTCAATTAAATCTTAGATAATTTAGTAATGATACATTTTCAGAATGTGGTGAGTCCTGCGGTGCCAAGTCCACGCACTCAGGCCCGACCCGGTGAGTCTCGTTGTGTTTTAAATAAGCATGGGCACGTTTTTGACCTCGATCTATGAAAAAAATTGCTAGTAAATCACTTCTCACTGACATTAAAAAATAAATTTATATGTTTGCAGCGTGGGGCGGATACGAGTCGGATTCGCAGGACGTGATCCTGGTGGACGATGAGCCCCCCACCGTCCTGCCACCTCCATCCATAGCGCCCCTCGCACCCCTCGCACCCATCGCCACACAGAAGCCGCTCACGCCCACGCCTATGACCACGCCCACCCCTCGTAAGTTCTCATCTGACAAGGCCAATAAATACAATAAAAATTAAATTAAATGTCAGGATTTCTATGCATCGTACTCTTATGATCAAAATGATTTTCGTTATTTATAGCGATCAAGAGGCAACCGTCCCCCGAGCCTGTGCACGATGATAAAAAGGCGAAGAGGGATAAAAAGCCTAAGAAAAGAAGGTGAGCAGCCTTTTATGGGTGACTATTTTTTTAGTTATTATAACGGAAAATTGAATGACGATTGATGTAATCAAGGGGCCACAGCCGTGCGGGGTCGGGTACGGAGTCAGGGGGCGTGGCGGAGGGCGGTGTCGGCACGGAGGGGGGCGGGGCGTGGACGGCGCGCAACGGCTCCGCCCACCACGAGCGCCGCCGCAATGGCTGCCGACGTGACGCGCTCGACGCCTACTCCGCCCTCGTCAACCGCATGCCGCCCGCCGGCGCTAAAAAGGTAAACAAATACAAAGTGTTGTCATAGATAAAATCTGTTACATATTGCTAAATTCCATGAAAAAATGTAGAGCATGAAAAATCTGATATTCAAATATTTGATCCTTGCTCTACTAATTTAACAATAATTGAATTAATATCTTTTCCAGGTGAAGACGACGAAGGAGCTGCTGGAGCAAATTCAGTCGCGCGGCACCAGGCCCGCCTCGCGCCCCGTTTCCCCTGCTTCACCCGCCTCGCCCGACGTCATGCTCATAGAGCCCGACTGTGAGTGCGCCAAATGCCATTCCTGGAATAACGCGCTTTTGACACAGTAGAGCCGCTTCAGTAATAAATATATTCCTCACTTCAGCGTACACCAAAGCGGCCTCGCCCCTGCGCAACGGCAGCAGCGAGCCGGCCCCGCTGCCCGCACTCGCTGCGCCCCCCAGCCCCGTCGCCCCGCGCTCCCCGCTCGACGAGGAGCTGGCGGCGGAGCGCGAGGCGTGCACGTGCGAGGAGGAGGCGCAGGAAGCGTGCCCCGCCGCCCCGCGCCGCCGCACCGCGCCGCTGCACGTGCTGGCGCTGCACAACGCGCTGCTGCCCGGAGTGAACGGCACGCGCGCGCCGCTGCACCCGCACCAGTTCGCAGTGCGCAAGCTCGCCGACCCCGAGCGGCCCGAACTATTCACCAGTGTCGTACCACTCTACAAGTATTCCGACTATGCTGACGATTATTGCGTTAAAAATTTGTCGCGAGTGACTCTGTGCAAACACATACCCGTCGACGAGTTCGCGCCTCCGCCCCCCGACATCCCCCCGCCGCCGTCCCCGCCCCCGCCCCGACCCTACCCCGTGGACGAGGAGGTCGAGGCGCCGGAAATCAAACCCGAGCCCGAGTGCGTCAAGACTGAAGTGATGGAATACGAGTGTCCCAAGGTGGAGCCGGAGATGGTGAGCGTGCCCAGCCTCGAGCCCAGCGAGCGGCTGAAGGCGCCTCTGCTGACCGTCGAGGACGAGCGGCAGTTCGGCGCCGAACCGGTCGTCAAGATGGAGGTCGAGGAGGAATTTGTGAGCGAACCCCAGGAGCATAGGACGGTCGAGCGAACGAAAGAGGAGCTCGACGGCAAGGGGCTTTACGCGTTGTGCCAGCGCGCGATGGACGCGATCCCATACTCGTACGCGCAGGCGGGAAGCGCGCCCGTGCTGCCGCTGGCGGCCGCGGAGCAGGGTGCCATGCTGGAGGAGGTGGACTCGTGCCCGGACGAGATGGGCCGGCCGCAACGCGCGCCGCGTTTCGCCGAGTGGCACGAGTGCGCGCGTCTCGGTGACCTCATTGCGCTGCCCTACGTCGTCATAGACTGAGTCCCCGGGCCGCGCGGCGCCACGTGCCAAACGCCCCCCGGTCCGCGGCCGCTCGACCAAAGCTTCCGTTGTCTCGCTGTGTTCCAAGTGTCCTTACGTTAGTTTTAAGGGTAACCGATGTATATAAAAGTGTTGGTTAGTCCGTGTGAGCGCTCGAATATGTACATACAGTTTAAGTTAGCGAATGTAGTTAGGAATGAAATGGGCGGGGACGTCGATACGGTGTCCGGTTGGCGCCGATGTGTTTTTAGTCACGTATTTATTTTTTAATCGTTTATAAGCGGAGGCGTCGTTCTCTCAGTCGTTGTGATACCGCGCAGTGCTCTCCGCGCTGCTCTATACATTCTCTCAGCTGCGCTCCACACTTTATCATATAAAACGAAAGACAAAAATATCTCTAGACTGTTGCATATTGATTTATCTTGTTACCGAATGTGATTTATGAAGAGAAATTAGGTAATTAATAATAATAGGAGTTCCAATTGTATATTATACATATATATTATTGCTGTCATGGAGTCGAGTGTCAGATGAAGTGATTTATGATAACCTTGAAATTGTAATTGTTCTATGACCATTGTACAACTGACTGTTTCAAAATATATCTACCTTAAGTGCTCTAATCAAAGAAAAAAGGGTAAATTTAATATAATGCCTACATATGGGCTAATAAAAGTTATTCCCCGCTTCATATTGCAATATAGTTTGCGTACAACATGAGCAGGGCTGGCAACAAAACCTTTAACCTGTGATGTGTCAAATAATTTAGAAACATTTAAAGCATATATTTTCCTACAAAAAAAACTACATTAAACATTTTATGATTGTTTTCGAAGAACTGTGATAATTTTGAAACGTAGACAGAAATTACGATTTATATTATGCATTTAGTTGGTTGCCAGCCCTGTGTTATGTCAAATCTGTCAAATGTCAAACTTTTTTTTTTTAATTTTTGTTCAGCGGGCAAAGTTTCTTGTACCTTTGGGCCTGTGCTCCGAGCTTAAGGGTAATTATTTTTATGTAGCGTTTAGCGCCGCGCCATCGCGAAAGATTCACGTCTCTATATTTATATCTTTTGAGTTTTTTGTTACATGAGTACAATGTTTTGTTATGAGACGTGTTAACACATGGTCAAAGTTTAATGGATTCATTCTATACATATGAACATAAATTTTCAATATAAAAATGTGAGGTTTCTCTGCCACTTTTTTTTTTAATACAAATGAGATGATTAATGTTTTCATACAAGTATAACCAGTGTAAACTCAATTGCTGTTGCAATATTAATACTGGGTTAATTGCAATATATATAATTTTTTTAAATTACTTATGTTTGTTCTTTACTCATTTCTAAAGAATGAAACATACTGTATTTAAGTAAAATTTGTCAAAGAAGGTTCTATGTTTTGTTTTTAAAATGTTTTCTTAAATTTGTCGTACAAATTTACATTATTATATAGGCAGAGATGAAGAATCTCTATTTTGCTCAATTTTGATACATCACAATCTCATAGTAATTTGATATGGGTTTGTTTAAATATATTTTAAAACATTCAAACTCCTTGTTGGCGTTTTGGTTATTCTTTTAACTCGATCGGGACATAATTGTTGTAAATATTTGTCATGTTTAAAAAATTACATGTGATAATCGTGGTGGTAAAAATTTTGCTCAGATACCCAAAGATTCGAAAAATTTTACATATTTTTCATACATAGGTTGATTATGAATATTAAAAATGAAAATGCCTAAAAAGATATAATGTTTAATAATACAAGGTCAATAAGGACAACCATATTTATATTATGTCAAATACCAAAAAAGAATATAGGAAATTATTACTTGAAACTGATATGTGTCATTCCAAATTCAAAAGTCTTGGAACAGATTAATACAAGACCTTTTTTTTTACTTTTTTTTTTAATACACATAACCTCTTTCGTCCTCAAAACATCCTATGATGTCACAAATCATAATAAATGTTTGCTTTTGCTTTCTTAGTGCCAAAAAAGATAGTTGTTAAGTTTCTAAATGTTGTGTTTGGATTAAGATATTTAAATATATTTCTATGCAGTTAATAACAATGCAGTGTCTATATAAAAAAGTAAATTTAAATTTGTCTGTCCGAAAATCCGAGTAATCTCTGAAATCGGTGTACTGATTTTGGTAGGACTTGGTAGTAGTTTATTTATGCAAAAGTAAATCTTATTTTTTTTAAATTCCATGTTGAGGTTGCCAGCAATTTTAAATAGACCTTACTATTGCACACAGTGACACCCCTAAAAGTGGACTGGCTATAAGATACAGTATTTTGTTCCTATTTGATTACCGCCATTTTGGCGCTGATGGTAAAGATTTGTAGCGGTGGTGAGGATTCGAACTAATAATAAACATAGAATTAAATGACACGTAATATCGACAGATACGTTTATATCGGAACGAAGCTAAAACGGTAATTTTCAAGCAATTGCCCATCCATTTATAGAGTTTAGTTATTGCATATCAAGGCTCATTAGCGTATCAACTTAGAACTTGCGACTCAGGTCGATTAAAAAAATAAATTGTTTTTTTTGGTTGTATTTAATTTTAAATTCCATTTTGTATTTTATAATTTGTATTTATGACAGTATTAATATTTAAAGTGTCCAATACTCTTTGAAAATGTCAATTATTTAATGTTCTTTCGTTACAATTGGTGCTAATTTTTAAAACGCGTAATTGTTTTTTTTTGTTGCTTATAATAGTTATTTTAAGTGGACATTTTGAGTTAAAATTAATTATTTGATTTATATGAATTCATTTTATTTTCTTAAGGTTGTCTGTTAAAGACTTTTCTTGAAAAATTGTACTATTATTCGTGCATTTGTTTTAATGTCTATATTTTTGTCTATGTCTTATTTAAATGTTTTTTTTTATGAAATTGTTACATAATCCATAATATGCGCTGGCGCATAAAATATTTGTGCACAGATTTACGCTGCTTTGCTTACAATAGAACTCCAATGTCTTGACATTTGTAATATATTGCCATCTCTTTCACTCCCCTTAACGAAAAAGAGACAACAATATGCACTAACAAGGCAGTGGAATTTTACGGTAATGTTTTATTATCTGTATTTTTGAACTCAAAGTGATGTGATGTTGTATTTTCTGTACAGTAGTTTGTTGTTTTATTTCTTGGTTAATAAATGAATCCATTAAACTTGACGTAAAGCAAGAGGCGAGGCGCGCCGGGCGCAGAGCTTGTAGTCGGAGACCTACCCGCAGACTGCCTTGTTGGACTTGATCCGAAGTTTTGGTAAAATATAAAAGCAAAATATATGTGTTTTTATTACGATAAACTGTTTTATTCCCCTAAATTTATATGAAGACCTAAGACACCGTAAATGTCTAATATTATAAATGCTTAATGTTAGGATGGATGGATGTTTGTTTGAAGGTATCTGTAGAACGGCTCAACGGGTTTTGATGAATTTGGCGTAGATGTAGAACATAATTTGGAAGAAAGCGAAGGCTACTTTTAAGTTTTTTTTTTAATTTCCTGTGGACGGTTACGTGGGCGATAGCTGGTTAGGAAATAAAATAAACACTACAAGTTAATAACATTTATTAATAAACATATAATTTACATTCGCCCAACTGGTTATGATTAAAAATGGCACTTTTACTTATATATTTTTTTTTAAATTATTTTTCTTGCTTTTATTCATCGGAACTAGACAAAGTGCATTCGATTCGAAGCGATTCCATAACTTCAAGAAGGTTTAGAACTGACAATAACTATCGATAAGTCACGTGATTGTCGAGCGTCAGTTCAATATATTTAGAGTTCGTTATGGAATCGCTTCAAAGTGGATGCACGAAATACCAAGCAGAGCTTAATCGTATAAATCTTTATATTATAAATTTTTAGTTAAATTACACATCTTTATAGAAACTCATCGATATATAAACATTTAAAATGTTAGTTTTTTTTAATAAAATATTTTACATCGAATAAAATTATGAGCCCTTCTGTTGGTGTTAAGTGACATTGACATTATAAAATGACATTTCAAAAGTCGACTGTAGATTGTCAAACTTGTATAAAACACTTTATAGGTTACATATATATGGATAGTAAATAATTAATATAAAAACGTATATAATCAATATAAGTTAACTTTTATATCTTTGTCAGAAAATGAAAATTCATTAACCGTGGGTTTCTGATATCAAAATCTGAATTTAAAACATATTGTTATGTCTTTCTTCTTCTTCTTCTGCTAGCTCTACAGCCCTTTGTGGGCCTTGGCTTGGTCCAGCAACTTTTTCCACCTCGGTCTATTATTTATTATTATATTGTTATGTCTTTAATCGTAGATAATGACAAGTACGATATATTTTACGCAGAGATTTTGGTCTCAGAAACCAACGTTAAGATACTTAAATACTAAAAAGTACATAATTGTTTATAACAAGTTTAAAACATTTAAAGATATTTTTTAAATAACTTTTTTAAAGTTATACATTTTTTTTAATAATTTGAGATTCTAAATAAAACCGACTTATACAGGGTGTCCCAAAAGGTTACGTACATAGGAAGGGGTCACCAGAAAAATAAAATAAAAATTCCCCTCTGGGTATTAAACAAAATAAATGGCATTTTTTTAAAACTTAAAAATTTTACACCTTCTGGGGCAATTTTGTAACCAATGACCTACAAATATTGCTATATTTAAAAAAAAAAGCTATTATATTATCGTCAATAACCCTTTATCAATATGAAATAAAAAAAAACAATACAACTAACAAAGATTTGAAAGAAAATTAAAATTGCCCCAGAAGGTGTAAAATTTTTAAGTTTTAAAAAAATGCCATTTACTACCCAGAGGGGAATTTTTATTTTATTTTTCTGGTGACCCTTGTGACCACCCCTATCATCCCCCTTCCTATGTACGTAACCTTTTGGGACACCCTGTATATAAATTTACATTAATAATATCAAATGCGTATTTAATAAGAAGAAATTGAAATATTATAAAAATTATCCTAAGTTTTAGTTAGATTTGGGTAAACCGTGTTGGGGGAGGCCTATGCCCAGCAGTGGGCGTCTCATGGCTGAGTCGATAGATAGATAGAAACCGTGTTAGGACCCTCAAGTATTAAGAATTCAATGATGAGAGAAAAAAAAGTCTATTTTATTAAAAAACAATCTGAATTATTGCGTTAAATGTGGTTTTAATGTACAATTTGCTACAAAATTTTGGTTAAAAAAAATCATTGAAGAAAATTCAAGGGGGTCATAAATTTACTAAATCTTTTGTACTGGGTCTGGAAACTAGAAATGCATGTTTATATATTGCGTATGTATGTTTGTAGTCAGTTTACAATATGACGCAGGGCATGGCGCAGCAGAGCGGCAGGCAGACGGGCACTGCGGTCTTCTTCTCGTAGTGCTTCTCCTTGCTGCGGGCGCCTGACTCGTACTCGTACATGCCGCGACCTGACGCGTACGCACCTCCGCCTTGCATTGCCTGAACATCATTATTTATTATTAATGCTTTTTAAAACATATATGTAATACTAATAAATGAATAACAATGACAAAATATAGATTAATAAATATCAAACTAAAAAAAAATATTTAAATCATATTATTTTTATTTATCTTCAAAGAAAATATGTTTTTTCGACAACCACGACTACATTCGCTTTGACAAAATTGTCTTTTTTACAAACAAAAATGGTAAAGAATTATTTAACAGCGTTACGAGATGTAAGAACTTACACTAGCTTCGTATCCCGCGACTTCTTTCTTGGGGGCGAAGGGGGTGTGTCCCGGGGGGTAGTACACGGCGGGTCCGGCCACGTTCTTGCTGGACCCCACGGGGGTGGGCTTCACCCCACTGCTGGGGGTGGGCGTAGAGCTCACGTGGGAAGTGTCGCGAGTCTCCCGAGTTGACGTCTCTATGCGACGTCGCACACCATCACTTTGTGTTGGGAATCTCTGGAAGTGGAATAAATAGTGGTCAGAATAAATAGCAGAGCGTAGGTGGCTCAGTGGATAAGCCCGCACTTGGCCAGCGTGGTTGACTAGGACCTAATCACCCTTAACTTAGGGTAGGCTTCGAGTCACTCAGTGGGGAGGTATACTGAGCTGATGATGATGAGAATAAATATTGATTTGTACCTTTAGAACATCTATTAAAAATATATTTTGTCATGTTTCTTTGAGTGTTTTAAAAATATAAGAATAAATTATCAAAGTGAACTCACAGCTTCAGGAAAGTCAGCGAGAAGGTCGTCAAGCCTCTTGGGTGGCTGCT